AATATGCTACTTAATTTTAAACATTATTTTTTTTTAAGAAAGCATAAGGAGTTGCTGTGGGTTCCGTTACTTCAGGTTGCTCACCAGTCACCAGAAGTGTCACAAGGCTCTGTCCTAGAACCTTTTTTTTTTTTATCTTAAACTTCAATAATGTCACAGACCTAGTAAGCAATCCAATCGAAATACACACTGACAGTAGCAAATTTATTTTTAGCAAACCAATCCCTGAAAATACAGCTTTCAGATTTTAGATTGCACAAAATAACTGCTGCAGAATAATATAAATCGAATAACATTTTACTCTAACCTGGTGCTTGTGTCTAAACCTAAAAGAATGTCTCATCATACACTTCAATAAAAGCGAAAATCTAAACTGCAAATATTATATAATGGTTAAGTAAGGGATGCAGCTAATTGATTCTTCTTATGACAAATAGTAAAAGACGGGGCCCACGCTCGGGCTCAAAATGAGACCACGACCCCAGCTAAACCATAAGATTTAGCAGGGGTTGATAGCCGGGGCTAGAAAAAAAATAACAATAATTTATATATTATAATTTTATGCTTACATTTACTGTTTATTAAATACTGGCATATATTTATATATTTTCAAACTCTAATTTACTTCTTAAAAGATTGCAAGCAGCTACTATTAAGATATGAGTTACTTTAAAATAGAGAATAAGTAAAAATACTCGGAAATGGTTAACTTAAGACTTGAAAAGTTGTAGGTTGTATATAAAAGAAAAACATGAAGATGGCTGATTGTTATAAGGTATTTTTGATGTGCAAGGAAAAAAACTGGATTAATAAAAGTTTTTATAGCATACATTAAAAGGATGCAACTTGTTGAATAAGAAACAAGAAATAATGAGTTTTGGTTTATCGTAATAGAGATGATAGCTTGTTTGAGCATTGACAAAAATTGTATTTGTAGAAAAAAGAAAGAGATGCAACCTAACAACAATGGAAATGTGGCTCAAGCTTGGTAGGTAAGCAGGTCTAATTTATTAATTTTTTTAAATGTTATTTCAACTCCCCAAGGCTGAAAAAGCCACTACAGATGAGGAGGCTACTTTATTGTGGTTATAACCCTCTCTTAACTATATAACTCTGAAACACGAACCTTGAAAACCAATGCTGCTGCGCAAAGAAACAAGTTGAGCATGGTGCTACAAGGGACATGGTGGGGATTGAACTCGGTACCTCTTGCTTATGACACGAGCGCTCTACCACTACACCACAACCGCATTTCTTTTACAATGTGCTTTTAGACTTTGTTTAAGAGTAAGAGGGTTTTCATTCATCAATATAGAAATAATAAAAATACCAACATTATTGCAGTATATTTTGCAGTAAATAAATGAGCTTTGTTGTCTAACAAAAATTGCAGATTTTAAGTCCGGAATTTAAATCCACACAAAAAAATCCAAAAAACTTAGATCAGATTAAAAATCAGTTGCTTGTTCTAACCAATCAAAAAGTGAAGATTTTTTGTCAAGACAAGAGTATAAAGTTGAGTCCTCAACAAATAAAGCCACTTTAATTTTTATGAAAATTGATGTTGTAGATAAAAAACAATACAGGAGTAAACATTTAAGGGTATTTAATCTTTCATTGTTAAACTATAAATTTTTTTACAATTTATTATCACTGAAGCTTTTTTTTAACAGTTGTTTTGTTTCATTGAGCTGAGCTTTGATATCAGCAATGTAACATTTGAGAGCATCAATGTTTCTGACTTAGATACACTCATTTCCAGATTGAGTAAGCAAACATAAAAGAACCAAATAGTTTTTTTACTTGAAGAAACAGAAAATTTGAAACCGTGGTTTTGCTTGATACTTATCTTCTTTTGAAATAGATGGGCATTATAATAGGTACACAAGATACCTTGTAGTACCCTTAAAGTTACTTAAAATAAAGAAGAGTGTAGGCCTTTAAAAATAACTTTATTACTGCTGTTAAAAAGAAATAATATAATAATCTCAAAACCTTTATGTAAAGATACTAATAACAGAGTAAAGACTAATTGTTGGATAGTTAGAGAGGTAAAGGTGTTTTCTAGAGTTTTGAAAAATTGGAACCACTTATTTAGCACTTTAATTAATTTGAAAATTAATTATTATTAAATATTATAAAATTAATAAGATTAAATTTTAGATTTACTTTAGTTAATGGCATTGTTGAAGACTAACCAAAAATCTCTATAAACTAACATCTAATATAAGATACAAGATTTAGTAAACTGAGAATAACAGAGCTTAACATTAGAAGGGATCTTTTTATATTGGCTTCTTTGAATAATAAAAGGACATTTGTTCTTAAGAGAGATGTTGTTGAAAAAAGATGAAATAAATGAATAATAAAGTAATGGCTCAAGATGGTGAAAAATATGGAGTAGAATAAGGTTTTACATAAAATAGAAGAGTAGAAACAAAAGTTTCTAAATTTTTAGTCCAGATGGAATAAAAGCTTTTAAGATGGGCTTAAGGCATACATATTATGGACATAAACATATATTTTTGTTATTTATTTAGATGCTGGTATACAATTTCTTTTCATAAATATATAAACTTTAATATTTATATGGTGTAGTAATTGCCAAAAGAGAAGATGATGATGATGATGATATTAATGATGATTATGATGATCATGTTGATAATAATGATCTTTAAATATGCATATATATACAAAATATAACTTGAATTTTGAAACCCTGTCTTGGCCCTGGCTATATTTTATCAAACCCAGCCCCAGCCCCAGTCAAATATCAACCCCGGTCATTTACTAATGACAAATGAGATCTTGGCATTTCTATTTTGTACAACTTAAAATAGGATTAACATGTTCAAATAATATTATTCAAAAGCCAACTCTGTCCTTGGTGAACTAAAAATCTTTTGTCCACTTATCCAAGAGAGGCACAAATCTGGAAGCAGCTCTACACATTGGTGGACAGACCTCATTTTGAGTATGCAGCTCCTGTCTCCTATTAAATATTTTTTTGTCTTAAAAATAGGCAAAGAAATTGTTATTTTCTGTTGATGCTGCAATTACGAGTAATTCAGTTTACAGTGTATATATATATATATATATATATATATATATATATATATATATATATATATATATATATATATATATATATATATATATATATATATATATATATATTTATGTTGATTGCACATTTCACAGAGCTGTCAAAAAAGCTGCAGATTATGTGAATTCTACACAACAATTAACATTTATAACATCAACAATCTGCCTTTAATAACAATTCATCATGTTATTTTAGTATGAATACAAGTTTGAAATTAAATATTTTATAAACTTAAAGTGATTTTTTCTTTAGTTTTTTTTTTTTTTATTGAAATGAATCAAATATAATTTATTATCACAATATAAATTTATTTTAATAATAGAAATTAAAAAAAAATTAAAAACTAAAGTATTGAAACTAAAACAAGTCTTTATTTGTATCAAAAAAATGTGGCCAAAATGAACAAACCACAAAAACCTTATCAAACCTTGATAAAAAAAATAATTTAAAAACATAAAAAAAAATGAATTAATATTTGTTGACAATCCATTTGCTTTTAAGCATTTATTGATATGTATTGGCATGGAATTCTTTAAACTCTGAGTAATATCTTTTGGAACACAATCCAGTAATTTTCTTACTAATCTTTTCAGCTGGTCTAAATCCAATTATTTCAATTGTACCAAGATTGTGGTTTAACCAAGGTCAAAAATTCTCTATGTTTTTGAGATCAGGGTTATTGACAGGCCAAGACATGATTTTAATGTTGTTTTCTTCAAACAGTTGCTTGCAAATCTTAGCAGAATGGAGCATTATCTTGTTCGAAGGTTCCCATGTCTTTCTCATATCTTTTAGGAAAATGTCAATAGAAGACATTAAATAATTATCCAATATGTCTGAATAACTTTGAAAATCGAGCCTTCTATCAAATAGTTTGAAACAACCGATACCTTCATAGTTCATGCAGGCCCAGATACCTATACTACTACTACTACCATATTTTTTCTAAACATAAAACAATTTAATCCATTTTTTCATTTGGCTTTCTCCTCAGCATTACTTGGTTTTTTCTTGAATCAACCTCAATGTTTATATCATGAGTGAAAAGAACGTTGTGCAACATGCTCATAAACCAAATTTTATTTGTTAAACACCAGTTTTTTCTTGCTTTCTGATGTTTTATCAATAGGCGTGGCTTTTAACAAGCAGCTCGCCACATGTAGTAATTGCTTGAGCACTAGCAACAACACCAGAAGCTTTTTTCTTATTTTAACTGAGATCAATAGATGATTAATTTTTTTTTTTTTTTCACAATGCAAATAAATGAACATTAGTTTCATTTATTTGAAATGCTAGGTTATTCAGGGCATGGAAGATTTTCAATTGGGTTGTATCTTTAATATCAACTGATTATTCTGCTAAAAGTTGCATATGTTGTGTTAAAATGTTTTGCAGTTTCTCTCATTAAGATGTTTTGTTCATTCATTACTATGATTTTAGATTTTGTTATATTATCAATAATTTTTCCAGTCAACTTGTAGTTAGTTATATACTAATTTTTCTGTTTCATTTAATGCAAATTTTTTAAATATTTATAACAATTTAAGTAAACAACTTTCGAATAATTATAAATAATTTGCAAATAAGTGCAAATTTGTAATCAAAGACAAATGAAATTTTGAACAAAGTTTGAAATAATAGAATGGGTTGTTAATTTTGGCCATTAAAATTATTTTACATCATGTGATATATATATATATATATATATATATATATATATATATATATATATATATATATATATATATATATATATATATATATATATATATATATATATATATATATATATATATAATAACTTTAATATAATATTAAAGATAATATAAAATATTAACAAACTTTTTATATTTTAGTACATAAAGTTATTTTGATTGTTATTTTTTTGATTAAGCATTTTGGTCACAATGGAGCAATTGGACAAGTTGCAATGCTTCTAATGGATTTACAAATAGGTCAAGAGAGTGTAATGCTTCTAATGCTTTTGATTGGTGTATAGGAAATAACTCTGAAATAAACCAATGCTTTGGTAAAAATTAAATAAAATTAAAATGATGATTTACCTTCAATTCTTAAATAGATTTTTTTTTTTTTTTAATTTTTTGCTTCAGCATTTTGGACGCAATGGAGCAATTGGACAAACTGCAATTCTTCTTATGGATTTACCAGCAGGTATAGACAGTGTAACACCTCAAATCCTGATGATTTGTGTATAGGAAACAACACTGATGTTAACCAATGCTTTGGTAAAAATAATTAAAAATTAAATTAATGATTTACATTCAAATTGTTAATAGTTTATATTTTCAATTTTTTTTTTCTTGCTTTAGTATTTTGGTCGCAATGGAGCAATTGGACAAGTTGCAATTCTTCTTATGGATTTACTAGCAGGTATAGACAGTGTAACACCTCCAATGCTGTTGATTGGTGTATAGGAAACAACACTGAAGTAAACCAATGCTTTGGTAAAAATTAATTAAAATTAGTATAATGATTTCCCTTCAATTCTTTAATAGTTTTTATTTTCATTTTAACTTTTTGCTTTAGCATTTTGGACACAATGGAGCAATTGGACAAACTGCAATTCTTCTTATGGATTTACCAGCAGGTATAGACAGTGTAACACCTCAAATCCTGATGATTTGTGTTTAGGAAACAACACTGAAGTAAACCAATGCTTTGGTAATAATAATTAAAAATTAAAATAATGATTTACCTTCAAATTGGTAATATTTACATTTTCAGTTTTTTTTCTTGCTTTAGTGTTTTGGACTCAATGGAGTAATTGGACTGGATGCAATTCTTCTCATGGATTTATGAGCAGGAAAAGAGAGTGTAATACTTCAAATGCTATTGATCAGTGTATTGGAAACAACAGTGAAGTAAACCAATGCTTTGGTAAATATAAATTAAAATTAAAATAATGATTTATCTTCAATTCGCCAATAGTTTTCATTTTCCTAGTTAATTCTTGCTTTAGCATTTTGGGGACAATGGAGCAATTGGACAAGTTGTAATTCTTCTTACGGTTTTACTAGCAGGTATAGACAGTGTAACACCTCAAATCCTGTTGATTCATGTATAGGAAATAACACTGAAGTAAACCAATGCTTTGGTAAATACAAATTAAAACTAAAATAATGATTTACCTTTAATTCGCTAATAGTTTTCATTTTCATTGTTAATTCTTGCTTTAGCATTTTGGGTGCAATGGAGCAAATGGACAAATTGCAATTCTTCTTATGGATATACCAGCAGGTATAGACAGTGTAACACATCCAATGCTGTTGAATCGTGTATAGGAAATAACTCTGAAATAAAACCATGTTTTGGTAAAAACAATTTATATTTGAAATAATGATATTTTATTTTATTTTTTTAATTTAATTTTATGGTTGATATCTTGCTTCAGTGTTTTGGTCACAATGGAGTTGTTGGACAAGTTGCAATTCTTCTTATGGCTTTACTAGCAGGTATAGACAGTGTAACACCTCCAGTGTTGTTGATCGGTGTATAGGAAGTAACTCTGAAATAACTCAATGTTTTGGTAAAGACGATTTAAATTTAAAATAAGAATATTTCTTCTTTTTTTTAAAATTAATTATTCAATTAATTTTATAGTTATCTTGCTTTAGTGTTTTGGTCACAATGGAGTAGTTGGACAAGATGCAATGCTTCTCGTGGGTTTATGATCAGGAAAAGAGAATGTAATACCTCAAATTCTATTGATCGGTGTATAGGAAACAACTCTGAAATAAATCAATGTTTTGGTAAAAGCAATTAAATTTTGAAATAATAATATTTCTTTTTTATTTTATTTCAGTGATTCAAATAATTTTATGGATAATATTTTGCTTTAGTGTTTTGGACTCAATGGAGTAATTGGACTGGATGCAATTCTTCTCATGGATTTATGAGCAGGAAAAGAGAGTGTAATACTTCAAATGCTATTGATCAGTGTATTGGAAACAACAGTGAAGTAAACCAATGCTTGGGTAAAAAAATATTTTAAATTAAAACAATCATTTACCTTTCAATTTTTTAATATTTTTGATTGTTGATTTTTGCTTTAGCATTTTGGTCACAGTGGAGTGTTTGGTCAAGATGCTATACAACCTATGGATTTATGAACAGGTCAAGAAACTGTATTATTTCAAATAATATAGATTTGTGTTATGGCAACAGCTCTGAAGTAACTGAATGTTTTGGTAAGATAACAAACTAATATTTAATTTTAGTAAAAGAAATTTTTATATACATTACATCTGTATTTTCAAATGTTTATTGCATTCCATGTTTAACTGTTAAAATGTTAGTTATTATTAGTTTTTAATATAATTGCCTAATAATTTTTCATTAACTTTTCTTTATGTACTTTTAAGTAAGTACATAAATTTAATTCTGGGGATCACTTTTTAAGTGGCACTTAAAGGGACTCCCAACATCTAACTCATTTTCTGAGTCTAATTGAAATTTGATTTTGATATTTATTATATATTTTATATTTATATTTAATTTAAAAATTTGTTTAATTGAATTTATGTATATTTAAGAAAAATGGACAACCTGGAGTGAATGCTCTGTTACATGTGGAATGGGTAATAGAAGTAGAAGTTCATTAAACACAACTGCTCCTGAAGTAATGTTTGAAAATTGTTATACAATCAATTGCCCAGGTATTTTTATTATTAACATATTTTCATACATATATATGTATATATATATATATATATATATATATATATATATATATATATATATATATATATATATATATATATACATATATATATATATATATATATATATATATATATATATATATATATATATATATATATATATATATATATATATATATATATATATATATATATATATATATATATATATGTATATATATATATATATATATGTATATATATATATATTTATATGTATATATATATTTATTTATATGTATATCAATTGCCCAGGTATTTTTATTATTAACATATTTTCATACATTTTAGTACTCTACTGTGTGTCTCTCTCTCTCTCTCTCTCTCTCTCTCTCTCTCTCTCTCTCTCTATATATATATATATATATATATATATATATATATATATATATATATATATATATATATATATATATATATATATATATATATATATATATATACATATATATATACACATATACATATATATACATATATATATATATATATATATATATATATATATATATATAATATATATATATATATATATGTATATATATATATATATATATATATATATATATATATATATATATATATATATATATATATATATATATAGAGAGAGAGAGAGAGAGAGAGAGAGAGAGAGAGAGAGAGAGAGAGAAAGAGACACACAGTAGAGTACTAAAGTTTAAGGACAGTCTTATATTTCGAACAACACATTCAATATTCCTAAAATTTTTACTGAATATAGCTAATAAAATTATTTATTAAAAATATTTTTTCAAAATAAGATTAAATTATAAAATTAAAAAATTATAACTTTATAATTTAATCTTATAACTATATAAATAAAGTTTTTCTGAGGTTCAAAAGTTTAAGGATATTTTAGTTTTATCAACTAGGTGTTAATTTATTCATGGAAGTAACTAGGTGTTAATTTATTCAAAAAAAAAATTAGTTCTCTTGTAAAAAAAATTAATTTTAAAATCAATCAAATCAAAAATGTCTTATTGTCAAATCGCAAATTAATTTAATGTTTTCAAGAATGCAGTAGGACAACTTGTTCAATAATATAAAGCTCACGGAACAACAAAGTACAAGAAGCAAACAGGTCAACACAAAATTATTAATTAAAAAAAGGAAAAATTGCTGGTAAGAGCAGTTTTTTCTTTTGTCAAACAAAGAACCAAGAAAGTCTACTTTATTCTCAAATGCTGAAATGCTGAAGTTTTATCAAATTAAATGTTCTGTGTTGACCACCAATTGTTTTCTTTGTAAGGCTTCCTTGTTTGGCAGAAGACCAGTAAAGGAACCTCTTGTTTCTGTAAAAAAAACTGTAAGGCTTGAGTTGATTTTGCAAAAAACTTTTAGATTAGACACTAAATCAGTGGGAAAAAGTTCTTTGGATTGATGAATCTAGGTTAATGCTATTTGTATCAGATGGAATTAAATATGTTCAACATCTTGCAGTTGAGAGATTCAATTTACTTGCAGTTGAGAGATTCAAGATTAAGTTCTAGCTTTGTTGGTGGAAATATATAAATATATAAATGTATATATTTATATATTTCCACCAACAAAATATATTTCCCCCCCCTCCATCAATGACTTTTAGTCGGCAAATTTGACTCTTAGTCGGGAAATGTGACCCTTTTTGACTAGTTAGTCGGCAAATGTAGACCCTGTCGATAGGATAGTCGGTAAAGTCCGTCGGCAAATGTCATTATGGCAGTCTGTAAATTTTAAAAAACGAGGACTTTTTTTTTTTTTTTTTTTTTTTTTAAGACGGCAAAAGTTGTAATGGCACCCCCCTATCCTACAATCTCTGTTAGGAATTTCTTTGCCAGCAAAAAAAAATTGCATTTTTGACATGCTAACTGAGAGTGGTATGGGAAGCAATAATGCTATAAATATTATGAACCGCCTAGAATATTTTGAAATTGCTGCTTATAATCTAGAATTCTGTTCTGACACCACTATAAGTAATAATATAAGTATAAGTATAAGTAATATAAGTAATAGAAATGATAGAAATGGATAGAAATCTGGTGCTACTTACTATTTTAGCAAGATTACTTGGTAAACCGTTTTTTTTTTTATTATTGTTTAGGCATCATATTGGAGAGATAAATATTTCTTAAGTTTTTAAAGCCATTTCCAAGGTAAATATTTCTTAAGTTTTTAAAGCCATTTCCAAGTCTAAAGCCCCTGCTAATAACATGCTAAAACATTTTCAGCAGATATGGATAACATTTTTCTAAAAAGAATAAATATATGCATCTTTTAGAATATATGGTGCACTACACAAAAGTTAAAGCTGAAAAATGATTGAATTTTTCCATATACCAGCCAGGTGCCTGTCACAATGCAAGGCCTAAGGCCATATATTTTCTTATGTTCATTATAACATCCACAGTTGTTTCATATCTAGTTCTTGAAGAGAATGGTATGGTCTCTAGGGTAGCAATTATTATAGCCATTAAATGGACCTTAAATTCAGAAAAGCGGAGCATGTCGTTCTTAATAGATTTAATGTATTTAAAGCAAATTAGATAGAATGAGATCAAGTTGGAAACTCATTTTAGAAAAACATGAGTAGCATACCACACTTAGTATTTGCCTCCTTAGGTTGTTGTAAAATTGTTAGGTAATCTGATCTGAATGCAGAAACTAAGTTTTTAATCATCGAGAAACTGAAATCTAGAGTTGGATATTTAATTTAAGATAAGGGTTAACTGTAAGGTACCAAAAATTTAATTAAAAACATAATCCGTGAAATTAAAATATGAATTTCAGCAAATTATTAGTATTTGAAAAATTACATGTACTTCCAATGGGCAAAAACAATTAAAAATTTGCATTGAACCTATTTAAATGAGGTAGAGTATAATAAGCAACTGTGGCTTTTGATTTTCTAAAATATTATATTTTTAACTTTTTTTAATTAATAACATAAAAGTTTGCTTGTTAAGATAAAATATTTAGAATGACATGAAAAAGTTTTGAAACTATTTTAGTTGGTTAAAAGTTTACATTAAAAGTATAGTTCACATGAATGAAAATGAAGATGATGACATCATAAAATGATGTCATCATCTTCGAATGATGACTATTTAAGTATTATCACTTTATTTTAATGAAAAAAATACTTGATCAATTAGTAACAAATTTTTTTAGAGGATGGAATATGGGGACCTTGGAGTAATACAGAATGTTCAATAACATGTGGTAATGGGATCAAAGTTTTCAATAGAAGCTGTAATAAGCCCTTATTTAATGGTCAAGATTGTATTGGTGTTAGCAATTATACTAAATTTTGTGATAATAATATAATTTGTCCAGGTTCTAAAAATATTTCTTTTTTAAATATAATTGATAACTTGGTGTATTTTATTTAGAATTAAAAAGTTAAATTGTTTTTAGTAAATGGTTATTGGTCAGCATGGTCTTCTTGGTCTTTATGTAATCAGCCATGTAAAGGTGGTATAAGTTCAAGATTTCGCAGCTGCTCCAATCCTATGCCAAGGTTTGGTGGTCAGGATTGTAATGGAAATATTGTTGATTTTGCAAATTGTCCTTGGCAAACTTGCAAAAGTACTAATACTACAGAATTTTATTTCAAGAGGGTTGCAAACCCTTTAACATATACTTGTTGCAGTATTATTTTAATTATATGTCCACAATACCCCATTTTTATTTTCCACAACCCTATTTTACAAAATTTATATGTTCACAACACTCCATTTCACATAAATTTTTGTAAACAACACCCCATTTTACAATATATATTTGTCACAGCACCAAATTTTACAAAACTTGTTTCTCAAAATAATATGTTCACAACACTCTATTTTACATAAAAACAATTATATAAATAACTATGGTAACTATGGTAACATCAAAATAACTTTATAACCGCAAATTTTTAATAATGAACAATAGGTTTTAAATATTTGTTTTTTTCTTGTATTTCATCACAATATTAGAAAGATTCACTTGAACTAGAACAATTTTATTCATAAATTACAAAAAATATAAAATCTGTTATATCGCAGTAACATCAAGGCTGCAAAATTTCTAACAGTTTATAGCTAGCTTGTTGTAAAGTTTTCTTGTTGTTATTGTTTTGTTTTGTTTTTTTATTAAAAAACTCCATTTATTTTAAAAGAAATTAATCGAAACTCCATTTATTTTTAATGACAATCAAACAAAGTTACTACTATTAATTTTATTAATTTTTTTTTGTTGTATTATTTTTATTGTATAAAATTTTCTATTACTATTATGCATTTTAAATATTCATGATTTATAAATGTAGTATTTAGTAATATATTTTATTATTGTTTAAGGTGTAGATTTGAATTTGGCTGTAAATTTTGTTGATGAAGAATATACTTATTGGTATTCTGTAGTAAAAAGTACTCCTTCTTTAGCATTTAGGAATAGGATTAAAAGCATGGTAAGGATTTCAAGTCTAAATTATTGTTTTTACTTTTTTTTAAATTCCATGGTTCCACAGTTGCGTGGTTTGGGGATAGAGGTTTTGTACCAAAATTTGCTTGAACCTCATCTGCTTCATTTTATTAGCATGACCAAAACACAAATATTTTTTTTTTATGTTAAATCTTGCTAAATTTTTTTATTTAGATTTCAAACCTTTACAGTAGTCACAAAGTAAATGTAACTTTAAATGTTATTTTGCACTCTATCGAGTAAGTAAAAGTTTTTTACAAAGTAATTATTTTTTTAATTTTAAATTTTTGAGGCAAATAGACATGAGGGATAATCAAGAACTAACTGTTTTTATAGAATTTTGTATAATATATGTATCTATCTTTTATTTATATCAGTACTGTTTAATCCATGATTAATTTAAAGTGTAAAATGTTGTGTAAAATGAATTATTATTAGTTTTTCTTTTTTTGCGTTTTTTTTTTTTTTTTTTGTGTTTTTTTTTTTTTTTTTTTACGAAATTTTATAATTTTATAACAAACAATAATAATAAAAGAAAACAACCAAGTAATAAAAAAACTTTTTATTCTTATGATAATGTTGAGAGATTGAGTTAATTTGTCACTTGTGCAGCACTTTTTTTAGTCCAAAAAAATCTTTTACATGTTGCATTTTCGTATGCATGTTTGACTGAGTCAAACCTATTTTAGCTTTCTATGTTTTTTTTCACCTTTTGATTTGATTTGCTGCTGATGTTGTTCTTAGAATTGCTGTTGTTGCTTGATTTATTTGTTGTTCATCATTGAAGTTAAACTAATATTGTTGCCTTGCTTGTTTTATTGCTTTTATGCTGTCAGCATCTTTCTGACAGCAATCCTAGTAGAAGCACCTAAAACAATTACAAAAAGGTTAAAACAACTAAAAAAAGATTAAACCTAGCCAACATGTTCATCTGGGTCCTAGGTGGGCTCAGTATGGACTATTTGGTAGGCCCCTAATGGGTTTCCCTTATAGGGCCCAAATGGGAAATAAACCAACTTAAAATTTGTATTATAGATATTATTAAATAAATTGTGTTTTTCCTATAGTTTAAATAAGTTTGTTAGCTAATTTTTTTTTTGTCGACATTTTTTTTTTTTTTTTGTTTATTTATAAATAATTTGCTCGACGATCTGAATCGATTATTCAGATAGCATATTTTCAGATTTTAGATTTTAATGTTGTAAAAAAAAAGCATAGTATTGTAATTTATTTCATATTATTCATTATTTTATTTTATTTATCGGTGAAGATTTGTGTTTTTTAAGGCTTTAGCACGTTTGGCTCAATTGTCATCTCAGTCTTGTGACGCAGTAAGCCACATTTAACTTAGTACAGTTATCCTTGTTACAGTTTCTGAAAACAAAATAATTTAGATTTGAATAATAACTCATAAAAGAAAGTAATTATAAAAAATTTTAATAAATTTGATTATTACTTAAAAAATATTTTGGAGTTATATTTACTTTGGTTCAAATGTATTTGGATTTATTGTCATTAGAGCATTATTGTTATTAAGGCCAATAGAGGCAACTAGCCCCGGTCTTCCCTATCACTTTTTATTACCCAAAAACTTTTTATTATGAATGATGATACCAGGTGACTTTTATCAAAACGTAAATAAAACCAAAAGTTTTTTAGTTATTTCCAAACCAATTTTTTTATATTTTCTCACAAATAATAAGGTGTACCCTAAATTGTATAATACATAATAACATTTTTTTTATTATTTTCAGATTTCGTCCGTAATTATTATGCGTTTTTTTTTATCGATTTTGAATCAGCAAATCCTCAATAAAGATATGTAATTGGTCATTCTTATTTTAAAGAGATATATTGGTTAAATTTATTTACTAAACTTGGTTAATGAAAGAATGTCCACATCATAAAGACATTTTTGCATGAACCAAATAGTAAATTAATTTAACTGTTTTAGAATTTTCTAGAAAAATTTTATTTAAATTTCTTAGAAATGGTTTTTCATCGCTTGTTTTAAAGTTTTATTTTTGTCTGTCGTATAAATTTTGCTTTTTCATTAAAAACCTTTTACGTTTGAAATTTTAAACATTTTTATTTGTTTGATAGGACTTTTTTTATTAATTTTTTTTTAGTGTCTCGCGCATTTCTCATAAAAATTACTTTCAATTTTTTTGAGCGTCTCACGCGCAAGTCCATGAGAAATATTTTTAATTTTTGTTTCCGAAATTTTTGACTTATAAAAACAAAATCAGACTTCGAATCAATATAAATAAAAATTATAAACATATAAAAGAAAATTATAAACATTATTGTATATATTATTAAATGTTTTACACTTGGTATAAACTATATATTTGAAGTTTCGAAAAAAAAGAAAAAAATATGACTAATTTATTCAAAGCTATTTTCATTTTTCGTGGATTTTTCTTTACAAACTCATGGAATTACCGTTTAGATAATTGAACCTGTAGGGGAAGTTAGGGCACAGTGGATCGGATTTCTTTATTTTTTAAATTGATTGAAAAAAAACCTAATTTGTAACTTATTTTTTCAAGGCGAAAGGATTGAGATATATATCCTTCACGATAATAAATCACTAAAACTCAAATATTTATTATCTAACGGCTCACAGAAAGGTTTAAAGTGAGTTGTGTTATGTTATTCACTGTACCCCACTACTGGGACACAGTGAATAAATAAACACAGCCGTAAATTAATGATAGTGAATAGGGTCATAGCTAAATAACTTTGAGGCTGAGGGAGTAAAGACACTGTACACTATACTTTTGGCACACTTTTGTTAATTAAATTAGTATAAAATCGAAAAATAGACACTTTGAAATTTGAGAGGAAATAAAAAGAACTTTATTGATAACAAAAATTATAAAAGTATTAAAATTATTCAAATATTTTTCAAAAATTATTCAAAAATTAAATATTCAAAAATTATAATTTAGAACTAATAAATTCATTTTCATTTAGTTTGTCTGTTAAAAATGCATGAATCTAATCTTTAAGATCGTTAATTGAGCATAGTGAATCAACCTATTTTCTGTACCCCAATTCACTCTGCCCCACCAGAACAAATTAAGTTTAGGTCTAATTGCTTGAAACATGAGTGTTGTTAAATGAAAAGCTAAACGACTAAAAGGAAGAATAAATGTCAATAAGCCCAATTAAAAACTTCAACTTTTGAAATTATTTCAACCATATTCTCCATAACTGATATATGAGCACATAAAATGATTACATTATCAAGATGAAAAAAATTTCTAATCTTTGAGAAAATGCCACTTATTCACTGTGCCCCTTAGTCTACTGTACCCCAACTTCCCCTAGTCATTTGAAACTTTGTCTAATTCAAAGTTCGACAAATAAACTCACCAGATATTTAAAGTTAATTTGCGAAAATCCTGTTTTGCATTGTTTAAAAATGCAGAAAATGAAAAGAAATAGTGATTTCTTTTCATTTTCTTGACTCTTGAAATAACTTTTTACATTTTACAAGGTTGTTGTAATTTATTTATAATTTACAATTTACAAAGTTGTAATAAATAATACAAAAACGGGTTCAACAAAAGTTACAAAGTATAAATTTTTCAAGAAATAATAAAAAAAAAAAATTTTAAGAAAAAGTTTTTCTAAAAAAACTCGTTTTTCAGTTATCTAATATTAATCTCCATTTAATATTTAATGCTTTGTATAATGCAACATCTAACGGCTAATCACAAAAATTACAATTACTCTTTGCTTAAGGGGTCGTCAAAAATTACGTCACGGAATTTTTTACCGATTTTGACCCCATGTTTTTCCCCTCCCACCCCCCTCCCTTGTCACAATATTGTAACACTTTAGTAATAAGTCCCGTATTAGTTGTAACAAAACCACTAATCTCCTTCCCCTTCACCCCTCCTAGAGCGTGACATAATTTAAGGACGTTCCCTAAACAGCCAATTACAAAAAAAAAATAATAATAATAATAATAATAGTTGTAATAATAATCAAAAACTTGATTATCAGGCAATAATTGTTTGTTAACTTCAATTGTTCCGTGAGTTCAAATATTTAGGGGACAAGTTTTTTTATTATTATTATTACTTTTTTTTTTTTTTTATAATTATTATAGTTTTATAATTACTTATTTTCATAATTGTTGTAGCGCACATAATGTCCTGTTATATGGGTCATTATTGTGATATCAAGAAATTCCTTACAGCTTATTACTCTAGTACTTAGTTAAATTAGTGGAAAACCTTCTTTAGCTAATGAACTTCTTTTAGTTCTCCCTCTTTAGCTGAGTTAATGAACTTCTTTCAGAGTTAATGAAGCCATTAATAAAAATACACTATTCCTCCACTTAAAGACTTATTTAATGTGGTAGCATAAAAATAGTGTTTTAAGAATGACATTATATGCAAGTGTTACATTAAAAATAGTATTAAAAATAGTTTAAAAGTCATACAATAAAAAATAAAACCAAAGTTACTGCAACATTAAACGAGCATAAACATAAATATACTACATAAGCATAATATAAAATAATATATTTAATATAATATAAAGAGCATGACAGGGGCGGATCTACGGGGTATCCTGTGTTGCCCAGGATACACCCATAATATTCTAAGAAATTATAAAAAATTCCGTTTCATAATCTAAAAAAATACTAAACTTAAATTTATAGCATACTAATATGAACATATGAGTTCTTTATAAAAAAAAAAAATATTGCCTTTATAGAAAAATATACACAGTTATAACAATGTTTTAGACTCTCCTCCGTCATGTTTCAAAACTCCGCTATTAAATCAGGATTCTTTTTTTAAAGTAAACGGTACCAAAAGAACCCTTTTAATCGCAATGTATTTATTTTGCTTGCCGTAATAAAGGCCAAAAAAATCCCTATTATTTCAGGATTCATTTGACCCGAATTTCCGGTAGACAACAAAAAAAAGTTGCAGGAACGTTTGATCAAAAGGGTTCTCTCGGTTCCGTTTATATATAAAAATGAATCCTTAATTATTCTAATAATGCCTTAATTATTCGCATAAAGCCTTAAGTATTCGAATAAATTAAAGTTTATCAAAAATTAGCTAATAAGTAGTTTTTATTACAAATTTTATTTTTGTTTGTAATTATGGATTTGTTGCTATCCAATGCCATTAAAGCCCAGCATTTGCCTAATATTACGACTTACAAAGCAAAGCTTTGTAATAAATTAAAAAAACTAAATTCAAAATTTCCCGTTGTGATCTTCTTTCTTTAAGAAATTCTGAAATGGAAGCTTTTACTCCCATGCAAAAAAAAATGAAGACTATATTGTTTTATAGTATGAGTTTAAACACGTTTTTTTATGTTTTATTGTTTATAAAACAATAATTCTTGACAAATAATGTTCAGTTCAATATGTTTGTTTTCGTTATATTTAGTATATATATGTTATGACTTTACTGGTCAATGGAAAATGGTAACTGTCTTTACAACTCTGCTGCTTTATTAATAAATTCATCAGATAAAACAAATGAAATTCTTCGACTACTAACTTCTGTTGAGTTGTTTGAGAAAGCAACCTTTTATTCGAGATACCCAATAGTCTTAAACTAAGTGAAATCTAAAAGTTTTTCTTCACTTTCTAGTGTTTTCATGGCATGTGTTTCATTTGAGTTATTTCATTCTTTTACAGAACTAAATGATATAAATATTGGTGAACTTATAAAAAAAGAAGCCTATCACAATTGCAGAAACAATAAATTTGCATCTTTTCTTTGTTTAATTGCATTATCTACAGTGTTAAATAAACAAATTCGGTCTACTTATCCAGAATTTGGACTTGAAAAATATAAAAAGTTATTTAATGTATGTATATACCCACGTGGTGATCATAAAACAAATAAAAAAATTCTGAGTATTTTATGGTGTAACATTAATTGTCGCTCTATTTCCAAGGATAAAGATATGTGGTCACCAAATCATTTTGTCCCTATTGTGAAAAGAGAAGCTTAAAGAAATTTGTCATAAGTGATTTAAAAAAAGGATTGTGTTCAGTTTTGCCAAGTGTTTTATCGCATTCTTCTGTTACCACTAAGGTTCTTAATTTATCTTGTCAACCTCCTTAAAATCTATTTTATAGATGTAAATATTGATATTACTTCTAATCCAATCTTACTTAATTGTATTCTTTTTTTATCAGATCAGTCTTCAAGCCTTCCTTTTTATGATGTTTCTACTTACTATGAGCGCGGTAGACAACTATCTGCTAGCAAAGATGATTCAATGTTATTAGATCTAGTTAATAAAATATTTATTCCTAACTCGTCTTTTGTTTTTCCTGATTCTGGTGAAAAAAAAGAAACGATCGTTTTTACATAAATGGCTACTTGAATATTTCTGTTTAGCTTACTCACATATTGAAGATGGAGCATACTACCTTCCATGTACACTGTTGGGAAGCAGAATTTCAAACAATTCCTCAATAATCAACTTCATTCGAAAACCTTTTAAAATATGGAGTAATGCAATTCGTGCTTACATCGATCTCAATAATAATTGTCAACTTCATCAAATATCAATGCATTGTCTTAGCATGCTGCAATCTAGATCTAATTCAAAAAAAATCTGATTGAAGTTGATATCCATAATCTGAGAAAAAAACTTATTATAAGTAATCGAAATAAATTAATTCCAATTATAAAGACAACTATTTTTCTAGGCCGCAACGATATTGCTTTTCGAGGTCATTGTGATGACAGTAAGTATCATTCAAAGATTAAAGAAACATGTAAAAACAACATTGGTATAGGTAACTTTGTAGAGCTTTTTGCATTGAAGCAGGTGATAAAGTTCTTGAGCATCATATTCATTCTGCTCCTAAAGATGCAACTTGTCAAGAACAATCAGAGGCTCCATCTTGTGTGATGGAGCCTCTGATTGTTCTTATGTTGAGCAGCTATCTCTAGTTATAAAATACATTGACTGTGATAATGTTATTTGTGAAGAATTTCTATGGTTCATTGAATGTAAATTTGGTACAACTGGTCTTAGTCTTGCGCA